AATCTTAAGATAGAGATCATGATACTCTCCTAGAGTCTTACAACCAAAAGTTTTCTATACTTTTTGGGCGTGATAATGGTCATCTTGTGAAATCCTGCTTTTAAGAGTACTATGAAACTCATGGATAGGAGAAAGCTCTGTTTCCTTAAATCTTTCTTGAGAATCTATATAATCATAAAGATAAACTCCTTTACGACTTGCTAGTGAAATTTGATCTGAAGAATAGTCTTTAAAGTGCTGGCTTGTAATAGGATGATTGTTGTCCAAATTTTTCGTAAGATTTGCCAAGCTATTATTCATAAATTGCATGCTATCTATATATTTAAGCTGATCTACCTTTATAGACTTATATCACTCAAATATTTCGGCTATGACTCTGATTTGGTGAGCATTAACAGATTGCCCAACAGATTCACAAACCAAGTGAGAGTCATAGCCCCGGAAGTTATGAAAGATAACTGGAATTGGTGTCTTCTATGCTTGGATTTGGAGTTTAAGATTACATGCATTGTGGGTAGGCCCATGAAACTTACCTGTAATATGACAGTGGTCCCAGACCTTATTATTCTCTTTATCAAATTTATCTTTACAAATCCAACAGGTATCAGCTTCGGCAAATTTTTTTATTTTTTTCTGTTACAATTTGGTCATGCTTAATAGCTAAAACTTTATTAATTTCGACCAACTCCTTATCAATTCTTCGGATGAATTCTTGTGTAGCATTTTCTCCTCGGTATAGGAAAGGCCCCCATTTGTCCCCAGTATCAAACCAATGAACTAGATAACAAAAGCTATTGGCTTTTTGCTCGGCAAGTTTTCGCATTTGTCCTCCATATTCTTTATTGCATTTTTTTGTTGTCTGCCTCGAAGTCTGCTATAATTACACATGGAGTATTAATCATCTGGGCATGATTTTTAAACTTTTCAAAATTATTGACCCCTTTGGTGGGTAAAGTGACTCTTTGAGTTGCTTCTCCCAAACCGAAATAGTGCTTTCGATGATGATATAAAGACTTTATTGTAGAAAAACTTTAAGTGCATTTTCTACAAATATATCTTTTACCATGATGAGCGGTATCTCTATAAACTAGCCCATTTATATTCTTAATCCAAAGAAAGTGGTTTTTTTGTCCGTACTTATCTTCTTCAGATTTAGTAATATCTGTAAGAGCTATAAGATCAATAATATGTTGTCTATTATAGTTCTTGCTAGCTATTACAGGTTTGGGAGTAGCTGATTTTTCTTTCCATTCCTAAACATTAATAGAGATATCAGGATTCATCTCCTCAATCTTATTAAATATACGAGAACAAACTGGAGTAGGCATAGGAATCCTATCTAGCTTGATGATATCTAAATAGGGCTTGTATTTTGTGGCTCGGAAGATTCGTTCAAGATGTTCTGTATATCCATCTTGATAGGCAAAGTAAGCTCCTAATGCCCCTTGAAGACATTTTTCTGATAAGGTATTTGTTTCTGGATCGATTAGCTCTTGATTGTTTGGATTGATAGTATACTTTGTATTGGCTAGCTTTTTGGGAGTAGGAATATAGGAACCTCCATTAGTTTGACGGTAGGTATAGGATTCAATAAATATATTTTCTATTCTAAGAAGAATTTTACTGGACTCTTCTTTTAAGTGATTCTCAATTTGTATATCAATTTCTCCTACAGATTGAATTAAATGTGAGTCTATATCATTTTCTAAAAGAAGAATATGTTGTTTTCCTCTATGATATGAATGAGTATAATTAGCTTCATAATTTGCTTTGTTTGACGGATTGCCTTCTCCTTTATATTTATATTTTATATATGTGCTCTCTATAACTAATGATGTTTTTATTTGGTTCTTTTTGTGGAGCTCTTCTTTAAGAATATTAGTAATTGCTTTGCGAGTTGAGGCCATGAGTTGTGGTATATATGGGGCATCTGCATATGCTATTTTATTGTTTTGCTGTTTATTAAAAGCATATGCTGGATTATTGCTTGCTGGAACCTTTCCTTCCCATACAGACATATTTTTGAGATTTTTATGTGGTCTGGCCGGGTCATAACTTTTTTCTACAAATACTATATCATTCTGCGAGGTTATTTTTTCTCTATATGCTTGGGTTGCTGGGCATGGACCGGCTCCCAGATCTTGAACAATCACTTGGTCTTTGACCCCCTCTTGAACTTCATTCTGTGAGGAAAAGATTTGGGTTGCTGAGTTTGAACCAGATTTAGAAGTAAGAGGTAGCACCTGTTTGGATACTTGGGTTCGAGTAATTGGTATATTGCATAGATTTTTTTTGCTTTTATAATGCTTGCGAAGTTTTTCTGGTCTTGTAAAAGTATATCCACAACAAGCGCATGTACGATTTTTTTTATCACTTCTAGGCATGATATTATTAAGTCTCACCTGTTAATATATTGGGTAAACTTTTGTTTAAATAAAAATATTTACCCCCATCTTTCATGATAAAATTATTTAAAATAGAATATATCTTTTTCGAGCGCTCAGAAGCTAGATCCCACCTTCTCGTGATAAACCTCACCTTTGATCAGATAAGTCTCCTCTCGGATTGGATAAGTCTCATCTCTGATCGAATAAGTCTTATCTCTGATCAGATAAGTCTCATCCCTAATAGCTAAATCTCACCTCTAATCAGATAAGTCTCACCCCTAATAGCTAAATCTCACCTCTCGAGGTGAGATTTAGCATTTTTTGTCCTTTGCTAGATAGTAATGAATCTCTTTTTGAATTAATTCTAGGATAACATAGAAAATAGTATGCATTTTAGGCTTGAATGGGTTCACAGAGAAGCACACTCGAACACTTCGGTCCTTGGTGCTCTCTGCTCATTTCAAGGGCAAGTGAAATAGCATAATTTTTTTGTTATCTTATTTAGATTTAAAAACATAGCCAGAGCGTTAACAAAGACTATGTACTCCTTAAAGTTGGAAGCCCAAATTTAAGAGTAAGGAGAGTAAGTTAACAGAATTTGGCTCTAGCGTAATTTAGAGCTTGAATTCGATATAGGATTCATATAGCTAGAAAGGCTTGTAGAGGCAGTTAGAAAAGCAGGAAAGCTAGGGTCGGAATTCAGACCCCAGAACTCCCCTTTTGACCCTACTACAGACAAGCTTATTTCACTGACAATTAATTTGCAAACAAGTTCATTTTATAGATAGTTTATTCTACTATCTCATTTCACCAACAAAGTAATTTTAGTTATTGTTGTTATAGTTGAGTTTAGAATTATAGTTAAAATTTTGTTGATAAAATAAGCAGTCTGTGAAAACTGTCTGTGAAATGAACTTGCCTGTAAATTAATTGTTAGTGAACTAAATTATCAGTGAAATAACACGATTTCTCAATTTAACTTTATTTTTAAGACAAATATCTTTTTAATTTAGGTAATCTATTTAATTTCATATTTATATTTCTTATTGATTTTAGTATTTAGCGAATGTATAAGGTTTTCATTAATTGTATTTTGACAATCTATTTAGGTTTATACTGTAGCATTTATACTATTTCTCTTATTTATAATATTTAATACATGTTAATATCTTTTATTGATTGATATATTTAGATAAATGATGATATTACAGTGAATATAAAGATTCTCGATTAGTTAGCATATTCAGTCAAGTTTATAAGGTTCATAAGTATTATTATAGTTGACCTTCTATAAGTAGAGTAGTTAAGACTCACCTAGCTTTTAAAGTTAGTATAAAGTTTGTAAATATGCTAGAGGAGACCCACATGAGGCTCTAGCTATTGAACTTTTTTATCGCTAGTCCAGCTAGTAGGCATGTTTTATTTTTGTCATATACTTGATCTGGTTGTCTACAAAGACAGCTATATATATAGGTTTTTTTATGTTGTTTTAAAACTAAATATCTTTTGTACTGAAGTGAATTGCCTGTAGGTCTTGTAAAGATTTCATGCTTTTTTTTTATTGAGCTAATTTGGCTGAGTATAATTTCCAGATCTGTTTATAAATGCTTTCAGTCATATATAGCAGAGATTGTATGACAATTTGTAATACCTCTTTGTGTGATATATTCTCAGATCGAGTCTTTAGTATAGGGTAAGCTGAAATAAAATCCTAGAGAGTAGTAATATAGTTGTAGTTATTAGAGGATTGAAGGAAAAATCAATCAAATGATGTACACTTATGGAAAACCTATATTAGATATATTCATACTAATTTATTTTCTAAGGTTCTTTATTTTTATTTTTTATTTTTTATTTTTTTAATACAGTCTGCCGATATTCCAAATTAGAACAATGCAAATCACACCATTTATGGTATAGATATGCCGATCAGAATATTCCAGATTACACAAAATTTTGTGTTACATGAGATACGTATACTGTGTTTAATATATATGTCAAACTTTAGTTTTTATACTTGTATTTTTTTTATTTGTACTATTCATAAAATGTTTAGTACATACTTATTTAAAGTAAATACATATTCACAAAATATTTATTTAAAGTTATCAAGTTGATTAGCATTTAATTTATTTTCAGATAAGTCTAATTGTAATAACATGTTCGTAGCAATCTCTGAATATTAAGCCGAGTCCAATAAAAATTTTTATTAAAAAAATAAAAAGTACAACTTAAAAAATGTATATCTAAAAATACAAAAAAAAAATTTAAATTAACTAACATGCTATGTTCTGAATCTAACTATTGTGCTACATCCCAAATTTAATTATTGTATTATGTCCCAATCTAACTAGCATGCTATGTTCTGAGCTTTATTATTATATACATCTCGGATTTAACTATTATGCTATGTCTCAGATCTAACTATTGTGCTACACCCGAATCTAACTATCGTACTATATTCCTGAATCTATCCCGAACTAACTATTATCCTGAATCTAACTATTATAATATGTTTTATTTTAACTATCATGCTACATCCTGTTCTAACTATCATGATATGTCTTATTGTGCTATGCTCCATTCTAACTATCATGTTTATCCCATTATAACTATCATGCCACATCTCATTATAACTATTGTGCTATGTCCCATTCTAACCATAGTGTTATGTCCTGTTCTAACTATAGTACTATGTCCCATTCTAACTATAGTATTATATCCTCTTCTAACTGCCGTGCCATGTCCCATTCTAACTATTATGCTACGTTCTGTTCTAACTATCATACTATATCCTGCTCTAATTATTGTCTATACCCTTTTTTATATAAACCTGTAAATAAGATCTCAATAGATTCAATAAACTATATATTACCTCAAACTAATTAAAATATATTGAATTAAAAAGCTTAGTATAAAATTATATACCTACTTGTCTTAACACGACAGATTTTTAGTGATCTTGCACTGATTTGAGACAGCGACGTAGCTTCATATTTTATATTTAGCTAAAAAAAAGCAGTTTTTAAAGGTTTATTTACTTTAGCAAAGAAGGTTTGTTTCGAGGGATTAAATGAGATTAACAAAACTAGACATTCTATACTACTTACTTGAAAACTTGCACTATTTAATAATTATTAAAATTTTTTTTGTAAAACACCAAAATGCAGGATTAAAGGCTAGTATGATATATGTAATAGCCAATTAGATACGAGGATCGATATGTGGATTATTCTAGAGCTTGATTTCCTAATTAGGAATATCGGCGGACTGTAATATTTGGGGTGTAGCTCCTGCCCCAGACTTTTATTAATACTTAAGTAAATTGATATATGATGGTGCTGTAAATACATACATATTATATATCAGAACTAGGACTAGGACATCAAGTACTAAGACTATTTATCCACAGCTAAAACCCACCAGAGCTGTCAACATTCCCACATATGTGATTGTCCTAGATTTTATATATCTCTCACCAACTGCCAATCAGTATTCACATGTCCACTACATTACCCACAAACCATTTATCTTCAACTCCCAAATCAGTGTATACCAGGTAGGCGCTTATTGCTTCTGGTTTGGTGTGTCTGTCAGCGGGTTTTCCCCCTTAATTCCTACTTAGCATACTTCCAGGAGTTCGTATCTCAAGCCATGCAGTTGCCTTTACCCGAACAGGTAAGTATCTCAAGCCTGCATGCTACCGTAACTAGCTGGTTTCCTGTGACTTTCAGGACCCAGGTCTTAACGTATCCAATTAGGTCTGTGCTAACGACTGTATTTCCCAATATGGTAACGAGGCTGCCCAGGCATGTTTTGCAAATGCTTCCAGTAGTCAGTATAGTTGGAGAGCATCATGAGGCTCAGAGATAACAGGTGCGTCGTCGTTTCTTTTTATAGTGATTCTCGGTAGTTGTAGCTTCCGGTTACCATTACATGCGCTTACACCAGCTCTATCTATATTGGTAATCCCGAGTCCTCTTAACACCAAAGGCTCCCATATGGGTATGACAAGAGCCTTTTAGGTCTATTAACACGTACACGCCTCCATGCTTCAACTTCTTATTAGCTGGTGAGTTCCGTATATGCCAGAGGTGTTCCAAATCTGGTAAGGCCAATTCTTTACCACAGGTCCCTTTGTATTCACCACATTTCTCACCACTTTCCAATTCTGGTTACTGCCTGGTTATCCTTCCAAACAAAATCCCCAATGCTGCCTTAGGGGTTGTTGGTGCTATCTTGCCAATCGCAGATTTACACGCACAACTTTTGTATAATAGAACCTTCTGTAACAACCACTATTACACATAGTACCAACTACCCCACAATGGATCTCCTTCCAGAAATTCCTAATCCAGACATGTATTTATTTGGACTTTCTACAGCAGATACTTTCAAACATTTGTAACTAAACATACCTACTAGGACTTGAATCTGAAACCCGCTCGTGGAGGGTTGGGTGCCTAGACCACTAGGCCACGGGATCCCAACCCTCTAAGGTTCTTTATTAATGAGTATATTTAGATAAAAGTCTATATTTATAGCATTTACTATATAAATATTATAGCTATCTAGTTTTATTAATTTTTATTAATAGGGTGTGGCAATATAGCAAAGTGGTAGAGTTGTACATCCCAAGTTTGTTAGCTATAAGTACTAAGTTTGAATCCTACTAGTGATACTTTGGATAATTTACTTGTGCCATAGTGATGGCTTATTCTAAATTGGGCTGGGGCTCTATTACACTATAGCTTGTGCTATAGTACCTTATAAACTGGGGTATACTAACACCATCTGGCACTGGGAAACATAGATGCATTTGTGTCATTGTACAAAGAAATGCAAACCAGTATAGGCAGTGCAAACCCATGATTAGTTATCCAGGATTGATATAAAACCTACCACAGTAGTCTAAGAGAACTGAAACCAGCTTGGCAAATCCTAATTAAGGAAGTAGTAGATTAACCTAACCAAGTGCAACCTGATACTACAGAACAGATCTGACTAGACTCCAAAAATTAGAGAAGCTGTGCGACAAAAGATTCTTCAGGCAAAAGAAATCCACCAACCTAGCTGATGAGAATACCTAATGGTAATCTTTAAAGGAAAAGATCATATGCTATGAAATCGTAAACTAGGGATTGATCTTTAGACTTGAGCCTAAAAAACTTAGGTCTGGGCAGGCTAATCCTTTCAGGCCTTCTGGATTTGGAAGTATGACGATACCAAAAGGAGTAGAGTGCAAAAAGTGATAAAATGTAGTATAGGAATCTGTGAATCTTAAAAGTGTAAGAAGTAGTAATGGTAGGGGTTCAATAGTTAGCCCTGATCCCAAGTGCATGGGTTAAGCTATAGTATAAGTTATCAAAGTCTAGGTGGAAATGTACTACTCTAGCAGGTTTATCTCGAGAATAAATTAGGATATATGGTTACATTCTAAGTCTGGCTATTAATCTAGTAGTGTCGTATAGATTCACATGCTTGGTACATGTGGTGAGGTTACACCCGGGTCTTAAATTCCACATGGTGGAATTAAAGATATGATCAGAGGGTTTAAATGAGTACTTTATATAGTGAGGTGCAGGTATGGCAGATAGTGTAGAACCCTTAGTATAGCACTATCACTTTAGACAAACTACTTAAATTAGGCACCAAAAGTACACATGTAGCTATATGTACTCTCATTGTATATTGAAATAATACTTAATAATAATAAATCACTATTAACAAAGAGATCACCTTAACATTGAAAAAAAAAATCAATTTTCATTAATTTATTCAGTATTTTTAGATATAAGATTTTTTATTAATATTTGTTATTATACTTTTTCATATATATTTTAAAATAAAAATTAAATTAAAAACAAATAAATAATTAAGTTGAAAAAAAAATTAAATAAATAAATAAAAATGCTTTTCAAAAAAGCGAACTCTGTTTAGTTATAGTTCTAACTGATAAAAAACTATAAACCTTTTAAGAAATCTTATAGCCCGATTACTTTATTATAATGAAAGTGATTTATAGTAGAAAATAAAATCTCAAGTGTAATGTTATAGACTTGCTAAACCTTAATTTTAATACTATATTAAATTTTATTAAAAGCTCAAATTCTTATTATATATGTAATATAAATAATTCTGTAGAATATTGCTATTATGAAATCCCTATAAATAAGATCTTGAGAATGAATATCATGATCTATATTACACAGTACATAATTGAGAATAGACTTTTTAGTTGGCTATTTTATCATAACTATAATTGTCTGGAGCGTAGCAAAGGACTCTTAATTTCTAGGTAAAGTGATACAAAAGTTATCTTTTTGATATCTTAAAAGTATTGTTTCTGATATATTTATAATAAAAATATCAAAAAAGTAACTTTGAAATTTCTGTCTGTCTCCACTTGCATATTGTGTAATATGACAAACTATATATATATATTACTATAATATGATTAGGCAAAAATATGCAAGTATGTTACACAAAAGCTCAGTGTATTGTTTTTGCAAAAATAATTTTTAGTCACACAAAACTAATGTTATGTAA